ATCTTTTTTTTTCTGTTCTCTTCTTTAGTTTGTGGCTCGTATGTACAATAGATTAATTCGGTCAATTGATTAGATTGATTGATTGATTGATTGATTGATTCGGCCAATTTCTATACATCGCTGTGCAACTGAGCCACCAGGAGTGCCACTTTCGTGTAAACTTTTATTTATTTATGCTTTTACTTTTACTTACTTTATTTATGCAGCTCTTTAAGCAGCGAATCCTGCATTGGTCAAAATGCAAAGAAGTAAACATGAAAATCATTCATTGTATACAGTTAGCTTATAACTTTACGAAATGCTTTATAAAACCAGTCAATAAATTTATAATTTGACCGAACAAGAAAGATGTAATTTTTATGATCTCATTTAATTCAACTTCACATTGAATTGACGTCATAACAGATTTTACATGATTCTTAGAATTTTTTTTTCAATGATAACAATCATTAATATACATTTAACTAACCAATAATTGAGTAAAGTATTTTTAATTAATTACTGAAATTTGGAATATTTTTTTCATTTTAATTAATTAAAATCATTGAAAAAAAATATTCTAAGAATTTATGATCTTTTCTCATGACCGGTTCTGCACGCAATAGTACGTGTATATATCCATATGCTAAGAAAAGGGCCAAAGTAGTATAGTAGTTAGCAGAATTGCAAACATAGAATTCAAGCGATAGAACAACTCTAACTGTAGTTAGTGGCCTATGTGATTAACATTGTTTAACATATGCTATACGTCATTACGTCAAGCGATAACGACCGTAAATTACATAAACCCTCATTTACGCACAATTGCGCCGCATTAATTTCTGTCATCGCACCCATACGTACTGTGACACACTCTGTCAGTGACGATTTTCACAGACTCCTCATCGTCTCGAATACACTACCGGTGTGTGTTCTTGCGAAATGCTTCTAATATGCATTTTCTTATGAAAACTAATTTTTTAAATCACTTAATAAATGTATTTATTTTTTCATCTGTTATCCATCTGTTATTTACTTGAGTCGTTCACTTTTACAAATTGTATATACGTAGATTCTTTCTTTCTCCCTTCGTCTTTCTTCCTTTTTTCGCCTTTATGTTTTAATGAAACTAATTTTTAATTTACTTGTAATTATAATATATAAAGAAGTGTTTAAAATCGTCTAAGTGTGTAATAAAAATCGAAGGTAAGAATCCTGATCTTCAACAGGAATGTAAAAAAAAATATAGAAGCCTCTCATGTTTGAGGATAAAAACTTTTCGAGTAAAACCAAAGAAAATTTCATGCATAAAATCGATCCAATTAAGAAGCGATAAAAAAAGCTTTTCCTAATTGATGTTTCGAAATCGCAGATGGTCTACGCAAGCTGGTGGTATTACTTCTCGAAATTTACTGAATTCATGGACACGGTACGTAAAGTGATCTAAATGTTCCCTCTTACCGAGATGTGTGATTTATATTCCACGGGGCTAATCGTGCGCATTTTCTTCCAGATCTTTTTCGTGTTAAGAAAGAAGAATAATCACGTGTCTACGCTACATGTGATCCATCACGGTTGCATGCCCATGTCGGTTTGGTTCGGTGTCAAGTTCACACCAGGTAAGTAGAAAATTGTTTATACAATTCCTTTATTCATTCGTTGCAAAAACTTAGTTGATTTTGCAAAACTAATTTGTGTCAATGTCGCAAAAGCGATCCTTCGCGATGCCTTCGGCATCTAAGAGCTTTCCTTATACATACATATGAGTTGAAAACGAATATATTGTTACGAAAACGAATAATGACTAGTTTTTTTAGAGATTGCAAAAATTTGTTTATCTCTTTTACATACATATTATCATTTTAGAGCTCGTCATTTGTCACATTTTAAATTTAAATTTATGTGCTTTTTAATAAGAAACTAGTTTTCGGGAACTCGAAAATAATATAATTATTTTTACTGAATCGCAGACTTGTGTTATTCGTTTTCATAAGAAAACAATATGCTATTATTTGTTTTTATAAGAAAACTATATGTTAATTTAGCAATTAATTTGCTAAAAGATACACTTGGATTATCGGATAAATTATTTGGACGTAATTTAACCCTCAACTCTCGTTTTAGAGTCTCAATTTACATGTCCAAGTCACTCATGACGGTTTTGACTGGTTCTATAATTATCACAAATCTCAATGGAAAATTTTTTTTTAATGAAATACCAGAATGTATAGAATCAAAATATCAAAATATAAAAAGGTTTTGATAATAATTAAAAAGTTATGCAAAAAAAATACTAAAGAACAATTTGTGAAAAGAGTGCAATAATCAGTTTTTTTTTCTTCAAAAAATCATATCTTTATGATAAAAAAAGATACAGATAAAAATAAGTAGTGTTTTGAAAAGAGGAAAACATGAACTTTAAGAAAAAAAAACGTTATATCGATTCATTTCAAAACGTATAATTATTTGCGCGACTGAAGTAGGGGCATTTTTATACATGTTCGGAAAAATAATATTGGAGGTATGTCGGGTATTTTCTTCTTTAAAAATGAAAAAATGCAATGAAAATATTTGATATTAAATATATAATGATTTCGACATTATTTACTCACGATTTTATAACTCTGAAAAAATAGAGCGATCGTTTCACCAAGATGCCTCTCTCGTGCTTTATTTGACAATGAACACATATTTTAATTATAAAAAGACAACACATATACTTGAATACAGCATTAATAAAGAGGCACTCCCTAAAAATAAATTTTCACTTTTGGTAAAAATCTAATAAATTTACATTTGACGGGTCCAAATCACACAAGCCAAACTTTTATTGCATCACAATTAGCGTCAAGACAACAATGAACCAATTGCATTACGGCGATCGACAGAGAAAGGATCCAAGTTTTTTTACTTCACTTCAACTCTGCAATATAAATACAAAAATAGCGACCGACTAAAATTTTCATCCGAGTCCAAATGACTCACTCATGTAGTTGAGGGTTAATACTATATACTTTTGATGATTCATATCTTTTTGAATTATTCACAAATAATTTTGAGTGCAAGTATTTGTTGCTATTTTCAAGCAAAAACAACTTTCATTTGAAAACGAATAAATTACGAATATAATTTCGTACTAATTTCTGTTGATGATCATTCTTTCAGGCGGCCACTCGACCTTCTTCGGTTTGTTGAACACCTTCGTCCACATCGTGATGTACACGTATTATCTTCTGGCAGCGATGGGTCCAAAGGTGCAGCCGTACCTCTGGTGGAAGAAGTACTTGACCGCTTTCCAGATGCTGCAATTCATCGCCATCATGGTTCACGCCTTCCAGTTGCTCTTCATCGAGTGCAATTACCCAAAAGCGTTCGTCTGGTGGATCGGTCTGCACGCCGTGATGTTCTTCTTCTTGTTCAAGGAGTTCTATCAGCAAAGCTACCAGGAAAGTAAACCCAGGAAACGGAATGGGGCGGCGATAACGAACGGCGTCGCTAAGGACAATCATCAATCGAAGGGCAAGCATGCGAATGGCGTCGCGAATGGTGTTGCGAACGGCATCGTCAACGGTTTCGCAAACGGCTCCTCGCCCAGGAGAAGGGATGCTGCCGATTATTACGTGAAAGGCGAAAGCCTAGCGACGGAGCTCAATCTCCGAAAACCGTTCGCAATGAAAGTCGAGTGACCCTCGAGCGAGCGCATAGCCTAGTCGATCTTCTCTCGCCACGACGTCGTTTTTCTTTCTCTTCCGCGGAATCGCCGAAAGATTAGCGGGTCTTCTTCCCTCTGTCTCTTTCTTTATCTTTAATTTGTTGTATTATCTAAATACAAAGGGTTGAAGACCCTGCCGAGATCGACGCATCTATCGAAAAAGAAAGAGTACAAAATTACGTCGCACGTATTCGGCTCGCGGTACGTATACAGCATACGTTGACGTACTTCATCGACGATACGATACTTCACTAGCGCGATGGTTTTCCAGCTAGAACAGTCGCGCGTGACCGTAATCCGGCGACTGACGCAGAAGGATGCTTAGGCGGATCATATCCTGATGCTCCCGCATCGTGGATGGAACTGGAGAAAAACGAGTAGTTTTTAAATCGGGTTTTACGAGACATTTAGATATAAATAATTGCGTTTTTAGCGACCTAAATGATAATTTACGCCACTTGCCAAGTAAACGATTCTCATTAGGTGACTAGTTTGCGAACAGACTTTGCATGGCTCAGGTCACAATTGTAGAAAAAAAAGAGTTGTTCTGAAAATGATGTAGATTAAATTGCAAAATGTAATCTCCGTGAATCTTCAAAGAGATCTATGACCTTTACAGGGCATACTGCATACATTATTCTTCTCTGGCTTGCTTTTAATGATACTCGTGTTAATTGTGAATTATTAACAGTCCATCGCTTCGGCAAAATCATGAATAATTAGGTGGAAGATAGCGGAAGAAGATAGAGGAAGAACAGATTCAAATTAAAAATAAAAAGAATTATTTATTCCTGGATACTCGGTGATTCTGTGGCGAGGGAATCACCGCGACGACATTCCTTATGGGCCAATTTAGCAGTTGGAAATTATCATATTTTATTCTGTTTTCCACAGGCGCAATACAAAAAATGTTCCATCAGGTTTAATAAAAATAAATTCAGTCAAGGCTTCACGATCACACGTTCCTGATCTCTCAAAAATTCACTAGCTGGCAGCACGATCTTAGTGTTATATAAAGAAATTATACGGATGTAGATAACGATAAATTACAATAGCAATTTGGCGCGATACTATTACGCAGTTAGCCGAGAAATCTTTTCGTTTGCATTTCGATGACTCGCCACTTAGAAACATGCACGGAAGTGACCTTAGCCAATCGAGTCGCGGACTTCAAGATTTCTTGATTACGTAAAAACACGAAAGGACATTCAGAAGCGAAGAATAGACAAAAATCATAAACTTGATTAAACATTTTACAAAATCACGTATATTATTGTCAATATTTATTATGATTCCTCAAGAAAAGATAAATTTTATATTATTTTATTATTATATATATATATATAGAAAATCTGCATTCTATGATTACATAGAAAATCGAAAGTCTTGAAATTGGCTCACTCCAACGAATCAGTGATTCATAGTGGGTTCTTATTTCAAGATCGACTTAAGTAATCTCTTAAAATGCCAATACTGCTCTGTGACCGATATTTATAGTCGATTATATTTGAGACTATCTTAAATATAATCTTAAGATGTCATAATTAGCGTGCTCTATTAGCATTAAGACGTTACCTAAGATGATCTTAAAATAAAAACGGACTATGAATAAGTGTATTCTAATTGATTTGCGGAAGTACTATCGACTTGACTGTTCAAGAGTCTCAGGGCGGTATTCATATTCCATCCTTATTTTAAGTAATGTCTTAAGATGCTAATATGGCTCTTTGGTAGTTTATGACTGTACTTAAGACGATCTTAAATATAAGATCCGACTATGAATACCGTCCTCAAACATTCATGCGGGAGTAGGAAGGATACGATTGCGCCAATGTGCCTTTTGAAGATAGGCGTGCCTTTTGCTCAATACTTAAAGCTCAAAAGCATCGGTTAGAAATGCCAGTAACCGACTTCTGTGATCGTGCATACGTCGATTCGCGAGAGGGACTCTCGACATCCCCTTTCCTTCGCGCGCCCAGCAGCCGCCACGCCGACGTCCGGTCACGGCGTCGCAACGCTTTCCACATTGTGGATGTGCCGATGCTCGTCGCGGATGCTCGTTGTCTCGGTTGTATTATTTAACGTGCGCGGGAAGCGTGCGAGGATTTCGCGTTCGTGATCGTTAGCTCCTTCAGTTGAAAAGGGTTGAATATTGCGAATCTCCTTCCGCTCGATAGCCGGGCTGTTTCCGAAAAAAATTTGGATTAATGGATTTAAATGAACGATGTTATTATTCAGTATCGGATAAGATTGCGATTGTCAAAATTTAAAATAAAATAAAAAAAATGAACGAGTTAAAAAAGATTAGTAGATATATTTGCAAAATTAGATTATCTTGAGTATATATTAAGAAGATTCAGAAATTATAATTTCGCGAAATAAATTTTTTTTAATTCGCCTATTTCTCAGACGTAAAATTACAGACGAAGAAAAATATGTAGATAAGGCCTGTTGTTTAACCCTCTGCTTTTAATTACTGTTTACTAGTTACTATTGTATTGTGTGTCAGGTTTTTACGTTCTTCCCGAAGCTGAAGTCGATTAAAACCGCGACAATCATTAAGCTACCTATCTCGCTCGCTTCGCGCGCGTCTTGTATGTAATACATAGCGTCTTGTACATAGGTAGGCTAGTTTTATATACTACTAAAGAGGAGTCCGAGGAGTGCGACGGTCGTGCCACACTTCGAGGCAATTAAAAATTAAAAAAAAAAAAGATCCAAGTTCAGGGGCTAATTTATATAAATCCACATGTGCATATATATACATATATATGAGACGGAAGCTGTATAAAATCGCACATTGGGGTGCATGACCCTTATAGTTGCGGCTTACGTACATAAGGAAAAAGAAAAGTCAAGAGAGCGTCTTGAATTTTCGACTTCTCGGGACCCTGTTCCGATTACTGCCCTTCTCCTTTGAACGTTCTTGAGTCTTGTGATGTAAATTCAAGTAATATAAATTGCAACAACCGTAATTGAAGAGCTTGTTCCCAAATGGAGAATGTCCTTAACCCATTTTTCTATCTCTCGCAAACGACAAAAGAGTATACTTTAACATGTTTATTGGTGCAATTTTCCATTAATGATAGAAGAGAAATGATTCTAAAAAAAAATTTAACTCGAGTTGCATTGATAACAAGCTCTTCGACCGTGATCTGTTATGTGTGTGATCTGCAATAATTGATGCGTGTACCATATGTAAGCATTCGCAAGAGATTATCTATAACTACATAAAATTTTAGAATTTCGTTGAAAATATTTTAGCTGAAAAGCATAGTGCCGTTGACGGCTGATTTTTTGTTAGATATCATTCAATATACAATCGCTGGAGCGATGAAAAATGCTAAATGTGCGCGTATGGTATAAAAAAGAAATGCATGGACGATTTAATACATTTTTTTTCTCTCACTCGGCCGAGAACTTGAAGTTGTTTTGTTGCAAGTGGCTCGCCGAGATGGGGTGCCAAAAGCAAATTATGGGCGTGCGCCGCCAATCTCGATAGGCAGCGATGTGAAAATTCCAAGTGCTCTTACATCGAAAACATTTTTACGTTGTACTATAACCAAAATTTATTAATCACAAAATTGGTTAACGTGTATATTACGTGATGTATTTTTGCGAAAAATATAAGTCTATTTACTATGCCCGTGTACTCTAAATTATTACCCTTGTACAATTCGTATAAAAAAATAATTTTAAAAATATATAGTATATACATGCAAAAATTCTGGACACATGAATAATATCATAGAATATATTATAGATGAATGGCGAAAGACTACAGTATAGATATATGAATTATTTGCTATTTTTATGTGTGTGTATCATGTATAATAATAAATTGTAACGCTGCAACCAATCCTTAAAAGACACGCCGTCCACGGTCGTTCCGTCGAGTGCCATTACTTCTTGTACGTTTTGATTTGTCCTAAAACATATTTATAGTTAATATTACTGCATCAAATTATATCAATATTTCCACAAATTAACTTACCAAGCACTTAGAACTTCGTTAAAGTGTTTAATCTCTTCGTGTGTCTGATCGCAAGCGATTTTAGCGAGGTTCAGCATTTCCAGACTATTATAATTACATTTTTCTTGTGGCGACATTAACTTATCTGTGTACTCAATCTCCTCCGTTGAAGTCGAATTGTTTAGCTTCGTGTAAACCATATTGGCAGTTACGTTTTTATAGCATTCTATGAGAGAATATATCGACATTTGTATTGTCGGGAAGTAAGGCTTGATCCTAGAGTATTGCGGATTGACCGTCGTGATGGAGGCTTTGTCTAGCCCACAGACTGCGTGTCTATTAAGAAAATTCATATGATAATTCTACAATACTAACGAAAAATTTAACATAAGATGTGTTTAATATAAGATTGTCAAACCTGTACAGTCCCACATCTCCCTTCAACATTACTTTTCGTAAAGCGTTGAGATCCAAGATATTGTAAAACATATCTAATTCGATATCCAACGCATTATTCACACAATTTGCATCGTAATTGTCAGCCTGCAAGGCTACTATTCTCTGCAACTCATATTGTAGCTTCTCTTTTCCTTTAAATATGAGCGTCGGCGTAGAATTTAAAATTGCTATGGATTGCTGAATGTCCTTTATATATTTGTTCTGCAAAGCTCGATATCAGTATCATGAAAATGTAGAGTATAAAATATGCTAATACATACCATTTGTGCGTCAATCGTCTCTATATCAGCCGTTAATCGAGCTATATCGAGATTGAGCAAGGAATTTTCCTGAATTATATTGTTCAATTGCTGAACTTCGTTTTGCAGGTAAGCCTGTTCGGCTTTTAATTTTTTTACCTCCAACTTTAAAACTAACCACGCGCTCACATCTTCATGGGATAACGACTGCAAGACAAGGTGTGCATTAATTGTCTCACGTTCTTCGCTAATTATATTTTTTCTTATAATTTAACATAAGTATTAAAATATTTTCACGCTACCTCTATTAGATCTATAAATTCCATTAAACGTTGTTGGTACATGTTAACTTTAGTATTAGACAATATGCGTTTTGATATCATGCATATATATTGACCAGATGCTCTTGCAATACCAATATCTATACTTTCGCCTACTACATTTAAATTGTCGAAGTCATTCTTGGTTTCCAATTTCATTAATATGTTCAAATCTTGCGACAGCATTTGATACAAGTGTGTCCATAGTGTGTGCACATCAATACTACTAAGAGAGTTTGATACCTTTGTCCATATCTGTGTTATTAGAAAATGTTATTCTCAGTATTATTTTATACATGAATATTATTTCATACAATAGTCTGTAAAAAAAACTGACTTGTTTCTTATCTGTGACTGAACGCAGGTCTACTATTATATCCAAATTTTCCCTCAATCTCTGTTGATCTATGTCCTTAGAAGTGCTTGGCATTAAATGCTGGCATACTTGTCTCATATCATCGCAATCTTTCACTTGTTTGCTGGTTTCACTATGTTTCAGTTTTAGCAAATCCTTTCTCCTGCTGATCAGTGAACACTTGCTTTTTATGTCCTTTAACCGTTGCACTAACAATTTCATGAAATTTATTAAAATTGCATCGAAATATTCTCGAGATTAATGCATGCTTGTCATCTTACTTTTTTGTCTGACAGTATGATCCTGTTCTTCATATTCTTCTTCCAGTGTGGATATTTGTTGTTTCAGTACATTATTCTTTACTTTCAACTGATCCAAATGTCTCGCAGATGAAATTGCAGAATCAGTCAATTCATGCTTCAGTTTGTACAGTAAAATGTTCTTTCTTATTTTACATGCTTCAGCTATAGGAAACGCAGAATTGGAAATGTCCTCCCATAGGAGCTCCAGTACTCCTTTGGATAATCTGATGGAAAAGAAAAGTTAGACAAAACGATAAATAGCAAGAGATTTAATAAACAGATATATATATATAATGAACAAACATTTTCTTCACTGATTCATTGTATACTGTTGGTGGACACTCGAGCTGGCGAGTCCATGCAAAATTATCTGCAACCTCGTCCATGATAAATCTGTTCTTGGATAAGAAAATACAATGAATTTATAAATGTTACAATGGCTTAATATTATTTTTACCTAACAGTGAAAGATATATGTACTAGAGAAACTATAAATCAAGATATTTAAAACAAATAAATAAAAGTAGAAAAGATTATTAGATTATAAAAGCAATTAGCTTTTTAATTTGTAAAAATTATGATCTTGCAAATATTCTGACTTCATGCAATATATTTCTTTAACAAAATGTAAATAAGCACGGCTGGAGTAAAGTCCCTTATTCGCAAAATTTCAATTCATCTTATCAAAATTATATGCACATATACACACAGGATTAAACTCCGCGCAAAAGAAAACATACAAAATTATCCATACCGGCGAGTTTTCTTGTCATCTAATCTCAATTAGCGCTCAAGAAATGTTGTTTTCCCTAGTATGATCGTAACGTATTTGAACTCTTTTTATTCTTGGATCCGTTTGTTTTGCTTGCACTTCCAATCTCAAGCGGCTCAAGCATTTTTCGCGTCTAAGATGAGACGGACGTATACTCGATCGCTGAAGAGAGAGAAAGAGCATGATGGAGCATAAGAAAACCTGAGTGCAGAAAGTGCAAGCAAAGAGAAACCGGAGAGAAGACATGAGGGCCTTTTTCAGCCTTTTTCCTGTAACCGTAAAATGCCTTCGCGCACTACTGCCCTCTGAAGAAGTGGATGTAAACTACATAACAATATTCACTTTTTTTGCGGTGCTCCTGATGGAAATAAATCGTTGGATTTGAATGTTTTAATATATTTATTACATATGAATTGAATTGTTTTGTGCATGTTAATAAATGTTTAAAATCCTTAAAAAATTTTAATTTCGCGTCTCCTATTATATGGAAATAACAGTTATTGAATTTTAAGAAATTTGAAATTGAATATTTAAACGTACGTTTTGGTTCTGTTATATCCAGAACCAAATTTTTTCAGAATTTTTTATCAACTTTTTAGTACTATTTGAATTTTAAGAAATTTGAAATTGAATATTTAAACGTACGTTTTGGTTCTGTTATATCCAGAATCAAATTTTTTCAGAATTTTTTATCAACTTTTTAGTACTACATTTTCTTATTTTTGCCAATATGAGAAAATACGGTATTAAAAAATTCTGAAAAAATTCTCAGAACTTTATGAGAAGAAAATAAATAATTTTTGTCTTTTGCAGTTTTTCTGTAAAGTTGATAGTATTTGAGTAAAAAAATTATTCTAGACCAATATTTTGCAATTTTTAGTAATTAATATCTTGTTAACGCGTAGTAATTAATATCTTGTTATTGCGAAAATAGCAAAATGGTAGAGGACTTTTCGATTCAGTTTAGCTCTATCTACACAAAAGTGATTGGCAAAAAAGGTCGGGACCCCTGTATATATGTATACTAAAAAAAATCAACGAGATTAGAAATCCCTATGTTATTGACTTAAGCGCTTTGAAAAGTTTCGCGCTCGCGATATCAGATGGCACTACCGACATGACTCTCACGATTTTTGCTTTTACGGCTAACTTCAAACAGTTCTCCCGCGAGATTGTCCTTCGTTTCGGGCATTGTTGATCGCGAATTTTTATAACGCGAGTGTTTACGTTAAAAAGTATTGCATCGTCACTGTTGTGTATTGTTTCCTTCTCACAGACGAATCATGTTACAGACTTACTAGAGATCCATAAGTTTATCGAAGTTTCCTGTACAATTATTTCAATTATTCGAAATAGCGAACGACATATTGCTGGACTACCTTGAGACATTTACTATAAAAAGTTCCGGCAATGAAATGCACTAAGCATTAATGCATATATTAGTAATGATTAATTATTATTGCTTAATAACTCCGATGTTCATATTATTTGTGCATAATTTTAAGTGATATATTTGTATTTTAGAACTGATATTTTTTATTTTTAGTAGAAGAATGAGAGAGAGAGAGAGAGATGGCGTTAGAGAATTTAAGATTATAATTTTAAATTCTTATAAGAATTAAAAATCTGAGGGAGACGCATCGTTTATAATTTATACAAGGTACACATAGAATTAAAAAAAATCGAATTTTGTGTATTTTTCGTATCTCAAAGGATACAAATTGACAGTAACATCACATAAATGTTATAATTCTATACTCTTAACAAATTGTTATGTACAACGTGTTATATTACATTTGTATTGTTGAATTGAGGAAAATTATAATATTGGTGTATTGTGTTACCGTTAGTTTATGTTCTGCGGGATATAATTTTGCCGGAGATCTGAAATTGATAACAAGTAATAGCGTAATACTAGAAGTGATTACGTAAATATATTTTTTATACAGATTATATACCTTAAGAATCTTCATGCCAGTGTGACTATGAATTGACCTTCATAGTCAATTCTTAAGATCGTTTTAACTACAGTTTTAAGAGTCATTAGCCAATCATAGGACAATATTCATAGTCGAAATCTTAGGCCGGTATTCATAGTCTATTCTTATATTCGAGATCGCGTCTTGTTTAACCTTGAGGTGTCACGAACCGATCAGAGGGCTGCATTAGCGTCTTAAGATATTACTTGAAATAAGAACCGACTATGAATACCGTTCTTAGAATCGTCTTAATAAGTACACAATTTTAAGATATCATGAACCAATTAGAAGGCTATATTAGCATTTTAAAACATTATTTAAGACGATCTTAAAATAAGAACCGATTATAAATATCGATCGTAGAGCTGTATTAGCATTTTAATTAAGACATTACTTAAGAGAATCTTAACATAAGAATGAACTGTGAATACCAGAAATATGAAAATCTTACAATAACAATAAAATCTTAGAATATATTTTATTAGAAGGTAGACAAAACATTATAAACAAGAAATATATTTTATTGAATATTATGTCATTCGGATTTATATTCGATTTTTAATACATATTTTCCTAAGATCATTCTAAGAATTGATTAACGTAAAATCGACTCTTCTATATCTGGCTTACGTGGAATAAGACCACATTTCCTAGAATTCTCTCTCTTTTTCCCTCCCTCTGACTTCCTCTTTCTTTTAGCTTACTATCATTGTCACTTCTAACCATACATAGGCCGGTGAGCAAATCTCCTGGAAGCCACCGGCTTCTATCTAGAATTACAGGGGTGGTATAAAGGTACGGAATCACGATTTAAATTATAACGGAATAATAAGTTTCTGTCGCGAAACATTGAATGTTTTTTTCTCGTAAAAATAAAATAACGAGAAAAAAAAGGTGAAGTACAGGATTTTAAATCGATTCGTGAAAAGGAACTCCCATGGCGCCACATGGCGAAAGACTCTCTTCTCGTTCCCTTGCCGCCTATCTAATACTTTTTTATCGCATCCTACGCGCGTAGATGATTTTTGCCAAGGCGAAATTTGTGATTATAAAGAAGTACCGCGTTGCAGCGGTAAGAAATGTGATCGTGTAGAAATCGTGAGGGAGAAAGAGAAGGAAAAGGGAGAGAGAGAGAGAGAGACAGAGAGACCGTGCGAGGGTGCGAGTGTCCGGAGACTACCCGTTGCAGCAGCGGGCTGCGAGGGTGGTCTGACGTAACGCGACGTTACGTCAGACCATGCTATAGAGGGCCAGAGGGATGGTGGTGGTGCGCGTGGGGATAGATGTGGGCGAGGGGTTCACGGGGTTGGGTCAGAGAGGACTGGCACGTCAATAGGAGAATCCCTCGGTCGCCGGGTAGGGAAACGAACCCCCGAGTGGGGAGTAGCTCATGAAAGCTCGCGGCCAAGGGATGCGGAAGGGGTATAAGCTGCCTCGATGCTATTCCCTCTCTTGCGCCCCTTCTTTTTCTCTTTCTCACTTTACCCTTAGGAAATATGTGACTTCCGGTAACGCACAATTTCCGCGATCGTAAACGTACTGGTTCGAGTGGGTTGGGAGTCACCAGGAGAGTCGCTTGCTATGTTTAGGGGTTGTTTCTCCAAGGATAGTAATCGCTTTTTCTGACTCTAGCACTTTAATACCCGTGGGATTGTTGTCATAAATATTAGTTAGAACTAATGTATCAAAGAGACAAATAAAAAGCGGAGCAGTATGTTGATTAATGTTTATGAAGACGGTATATCAACTGCATACGAAGGCGTTGTTAGCTCCGTTCTAAAATTATCTTCCGCGGTCTGCGACCTGCAGCTAGAGTCATACGGTGCGTTACTGCGACGGCGTGATATAACATACGAGATCGACGGTAGATTCTGGAGGATCGGTAGCTCGATCGAGCTCGAATTCGTACAGGGTATTGCGCGCTGTGGGGAGTACGAACTCTCCTAATTTCGTAGCACCCTGTAACTGTTACGTGACGCGCGCGACCGCCCCTGCAACGGTTTCGATATGCATGATTTAGTAGTGTGGCGCTTGCCGCGGGATAGAGACGGTTTCTGTCCTTTCACCTATTGGCCAGTGTCAGACACATTGCCCTAAACATCAGGTCAGGCGTTTAGATACCATAAGTAGTCTGCGGCTACCATTGAGCCCCGTTTGAAAGAGGGGTGAAGGGAAACGGGGGACGCGCGAAAGGTAGGGAAGACGGCGGAAGGAGAAAGGGTATAATTCCTCGCAGGGGTGGCGGTCAGTGACGTATAACAACAATGCCGACGTTATCGTCGATCGACCGAATAAGGTGGGGATATAGTTGGGGAAAAGCAGCGTGACGGTGTGGTAACAGCCGCAAAAACCGTATGAAACACGGCACTTACCAATTTTTGCGAGCCCTCGGCGTTAATAAGAACTGATGTAACTTTAACGGCTCACTCGACTCGGTGCCAATTGAAGAGACATAGCGCAACGCTTTTTTCAATCATATGGGTAGAAATGTATAAGTAACGCTCTCGGATTCGTTTGTATTTACTCTTTAAATTTTTTAGAATGAAATCTCACTCTGAAGGGTAAAAATTGAGCCGATCTTAAAAAAGAATGACTCTATTTTTTATTTTAAAGAGTGAGATTTTACTGTTTAGAATGACAATTCACTCTAAAAGTTGTAGAAAGTACACAGACATTAATATTAATTTGTTACATTCCACGCGATGCATCGAATGTCACGAATAATTATAGTTTATGAATTACAATACACATGTCCCATATTGCTTGCATAATAAATTTCGTTCTGCTAAATTATGCCTCTTGTGTACGTTCATTAACTTTACGCCCACAATTTCACGGGGACGTAAATATCACTTATTTAATTATAATTCTCTGTAAAGCGATACTCCGACTACGTTACTGTCCTCTGCCCCTGCAGCTGCAGCGGTGGGTTGTCATAATTTCAAGGACGTCGCAAGTAACGGGGTCATCGCGCCACCGAGATATGCAATATCGCAATACCGAGAAACATTTCACTGAGTAAACCTTGGAAAGAGTGTAACATAGCGCACTTCCTTTGTGCAATATACTGTAGGTTCATTAAAAGTAAACAGTCAAGTTTCATAGTAGACTTGTAATGTTTCGTGAAACACGTAAAGATTAGAAAATATTCGTGGAAATATTCTAGCGATACGGAGCAGGACTTTGTAGCAGAATTCCGTCACTGCGATTTTCAGAACGGGAAATAAGGGGTATGTTAGGGGCGTCTCGATCGTGCGGAGAAACCCGGGTGATTACGATAGAGTCGATTGAACTTAACAGAAAAGTACGAAGAATTTGACGATAACCTTGTCTTTATAGTATCGTGGTTTTTTAGTATCTTTTATAGTATTCTTAGATAATTAAAATTAATATTTCAAAATTATATTAATTACAACAATATTTATTAACTCTAATGATGTATCAATCCTGTTCTTTTTCCTCTTCCCAATTTTATTATAAAATATAAAGAAGGTAGAAAGAGTTTTCAAGATCTTCCCTAGAAAATTTACAATTTTTACAGTATTACACTTTAATCATCAAAGCTAAGGATAAAAATCCGTAAGCGCGTCCCGTGCCTTTTGATTAAGGGATAAAATTAAAGTAACAAAGAGAAAGAGTCTACAGTATTTTAGTTTAATGATAAGAAATAAAAGCAGGCGGCACGCACATCTCGATGGGGGGGTAAGAGTTAAACCTTCGGGAGACGTCACTGTTCGGCGGGGTGGCGCGTCAAGGGCGAACAGTATCCGTGGTGGGGATGCCTTCAGAGGGTAGGGGTGCGTCGCGGCCGACCGGGGCGCAAGAGGGAGGCGGCAGCATGAGAGGCAGAGAGTGTAACCCCACGGTCGCACCGCCACCCGTGCGTCGTCGTATTTAAAATATGACTCGGGTTAGAGCGCACACGGGGGTAGTCGTGCGAGTGTAGAGATATTAGCCGCGTGCACCGGGAGTATATTATCCGTATTAGTTTAGGCAAGCAAAAATAGTAGTGAGTAAGGGTTATTGTCCGAGGGGGCGTGCAACGGGGTCTCCGTCGAGAGAAAGACAGGAAGAGAGAAAGATAGGAGGACACAGAGCGAGGAAGCACAAGCAGAGCCAGCACAAGACGGAAAAGTCAACCAACGAGACGAACGGATGATACGGGGGGTGGCTAGGTGAAATCAGACACTCTCGATTATCGGTCCAGTGAAAGTGCGAAACGCGAAGACAACCGTGCAGTTTCGGGGACCGCCGTTGCGAATGAATACATATCATTTTATCCTAGTTGCAGAGAGTGTGTGAGAGAGGGAGAGATAGAAGGAAAAAGAGGGAGAGAGAATCGTAGCGAGAGGGTGGAGGGTGGATCGTGAGAAAGAACGACGCGACCAGAACGAACGGAGATTATCGCGAATCAGTGAGTTTAACGAGGATAGATGGAGAAAGAGGGAGAAAGAAAGAAGAAGAAACGTGAGTTCCATTGAGATGCGTACACAGAGATATATATATAAATATAGATAAATGGATAGATAGATAGATATATGTATACACATGCGCAACGCGAAACGTGTGAGTGTGTACTTGGCTTGATCATCATCGTCGTCCTCGTCGTCGTGAATGCATCCTTTTCCGGCCCGAAGCTTTCGGGACAGTGAGATATTCTTAGAGAAGTTCCGGAAGCGACTTGACAGAGTCTGAAAGAGGAAAAGAGGGAGACACAAAGAGAAATTCCCTCCCGCGGATGATCACTCGTGGGCAGCTACGTGTCGTCGCCGTCGCCGTCGTCGTCCGTCGTGCATATCTTTTCTCGTGAACTGTGATTCTTTGTGCCGCTCGTCGAGGGAGGAGGGACAGTGATCTCTGCGACGAGACGGGATAAGACAGACAGGCAGGGTAAGTGGAACTTACTGTCCCTTCATACGACCCTGACTGGACGTTTTTACTTGGCACTATATATGAAGTGGAAGCAGGTTAATTGGACAGTTAGGCCGGTTAAATTAAAGCCTATCGATAAGCGGAAACCGAGGTAATAAAGTGGCTTGCCTCGTCTCTCCCGTAAGCTTACATCTTGACTTACATCCCTCATATTTGAATGAATTAAATCTCTCATCTGGTCTGAAAATCATCCTTTTATTCCTTCTACTTCGATTCAATAATGCCTATGATTTATGCAATATTTATCTTTGTATATCTCTTCTAATCTTTTAATATTATCGTCAATTAATTTTAAAAACTGTATGTATTAGATTAACAAGACAAACTACGAAGTTCTTAATTTTCCATCGTAGCTTACCTATATTACCTCGAAAAGAAAGTCTGCTTTCTTTAGATTAAGTAAGAAAGTTTCTCTCGTCAGACTTATATAATTCTTTTAAGCATTGTTTTACTAAACCGTAAATGAATTTTGTGCAATGTTATTCTATCTAATAATGATAAATATGTTTAATAAAATAATCAACTTAAGTTTAATTGGGGAGTTTACAAAAGGATTATAAAATTCTATTTTTTCTGTTTCTTTTTAAAACATCTTTTCTCTATTTCTTTCTGTATTATTATTCCATCTAATAACGATAAATATGTTTAATAAAATAATTGGCTTAAGTTTAATTGGGGGGGTTTAGAAAAGGATTATAAAATTCTATTTTTTCTGTTTCTTTAAAACATTTTTTCTGTATTTTTTTCTGTATTATTTTTCTATAAAACCAAATTTTACATTCATAAAAATAACTGAATAAGGATTATTTTTTACTGATGATCATGAGAAAATTGTAATTTAGACACGATACATTTTGTGCCATAAAATATAAAAATCAAATTTTCATCCATTTAATATTAAATAATGAAATATCAGTACAATAACATAACTTTCATAGTAATCAGGAATTTTAATGTTTTATATTTTTAATTTTCCATTGGTAACAAGTTTGAATAATTTGTACATTATATATTAATATGTGATAAAATGTTAAAATTTCTTATTAGTGTACAAAATTCTATTAATTTTACTGCTATTTTTTAAGTATTAAAACTGAATTTTCAAAATGTTAAGCACAAAATATTAATTTGCAATAACATTAACAATAAAATATTATAATTATTATTTAAAATTACCTCAACCTACTGGCATTTTATCGTTTAATATTGAACGAATAAACTAACATTTAGTATTCATATTTTTCTTTGTCAATGAAATTTAATTCAAAATATAATTTTTTATCATAATCATTGACAAATATCCAATTACTCTATTCGTGAATATGTAAGATTTAACTTAATAAAAGAAGTAATGTAGAAAGAAATAAAGTACACTGTTTTAGTATTGGCTTGACAGAACAAATTCGCGGCAGTGTCGAAAAAATTGTTTTATTAAGTCCCGCGTTGTTTGCGGGATAGCTGGACGCAGTGAAAACATTGGCAAATACATAAAAATAAATGGACGATAAAAGAAATGCAGCAACGATAGTCTTTTTTGTCTGCTAGTACAATACATTCTTAATGAAAACGGTATGGTAATGTAGTAAATTACGTGAAAATACAGCGAATATCCGAATTAAACCTTAGCTTAAAGTCGACTTTTCCTCAACTGAAACGCGTCAAGATAGGACAGTTTTCGCATTACGAATGATTGGGAAACGAAGGACCTTTCACTAACTAACTTTCCAATAGGTAAGGGCAGATGCAATTAAATAACAAAACTTTCTTGTTCATTTAAATTCAAGAAAAACTTATCTTTCTTTTTATCTCAGATATTAAGTCTAAGCTTCATGACCGAGAGATACTCCGTATTGAATGTTAAGAAGATGCGGTCGACCGACACCTCTTTCGATTTTATCGCCAAACGAACTCGAAATTTAATTTGTTATAAGCAAATAAGGTGTGTAGGTGTAAGGACTCATAAGTGGCAAACGCAACGCGTTTCTCGCGATATCATCTCGAGATATGTCGACATAAAAATAAACATGAAAATCTTGATGTCGCAAGGTTTTTATTTTCGTGTTAGAAAAACTACTTTCCGGAGGCTTGGTTGTGTAAAGGTTCCAGGAGAGCCTGAAAATATCCATTGCATGTGTACGACGAGGCGCACTCTCACCTTTATCACATAATTCCACGCGCGTCGTACGTTGTGCGATCGTGTCTCGTCGATGAATCATTCTTTCCCTGTCACCCAAAGAGTGGTTAGTATTAATAATCGCGTGATTGTGCAATGTCAAAACAACGTAATATTAGCCGATTGGTATTTCTCGCATTTCCACGCTTTTTGTCTCGTATTTTCATCGGTGTTATCGCACTCGTTCGAAATTTCAGATATCCATGGGGACGTACATTAAATATTCCCTTTCGCGAAATCCATGCCATGTACTGTTTGTATGTTAGCAATGTGCGTGCGGTACTGCGCAGGATTTCTGTGCCCCGAAATTCCAGGGGAGAGTGCGAAATTAAATCATTTATCGTTCGCAACTGCGGCGTGATATTCCTAACGACGCGCATTACACGAGAGTACAAAATACGGAATATAAAATTACTACCTTAACCCTGTGATTTTCAACAAATTTCAGTACATGCATTATTTATCATCTCAATGGTGCGATCAGCTAAAATATAAATTCTTTCTTTACATCTATGTACAGTTCAACAAAGCTAGCTTAAATATGCTTTATTTTTATTTTAATATTATCAATATCTGTTCTAATACTTACATTTTATTATTCGAAAAATGTAAAATTTTGAAAAATATTTGCTAATTGTAAGTGTGAATTAATTTAAAAATTTGGAATATTGTATGCAAGATGTTAAATTCCAATACATACAGTATTTAGAATCTCAGTAGTGATGCCGAGTTTAGTGGAATCAGCTAGAATATAAATTCTTTCTTTACGTTTATATACAGTTTAGCAAAGCTAGTACTAAGTCTTATTTTGATGTCTTACTCGTATTTTGATATTATCAATGTCTGTTCCCAATTTTTCTTTATCATTCGAAAAATATTATAAAGATTTTGAAAATATAATATTTGCGAATTGTAATTATCAAATTAATTCCATTTGGAATATTGTATGCAGAATGTCCATGTCCATTTTGATATAGGACAACAAAGGTTAATTAGGTCAATTAACCAATTACAGAAAGATCAAAAATGTTGATGTTTATCTTCTGAATAAATGTATTTACCTGGTTAAAATAATTAATAATCATTCTAAATATATTTACATACAGTGTAATATCAGATACAATATATTACAAATATCAGATACAATATAATAAATATCAAATAATACCATTTCAAGATTTTCGTGTTATTTCTATATTATTTTAATATTATGATTATGTTGTTTTAATATTAAAACGATTTGACGAGTTGAATGAAGTTAATATTAAAACGATTTGGAGGTTAAATGAAGGTTCATATTCGTTTTTAAGAAACATTAGAGAATTAATCGATAACATGTAACTTATCTCGACGAGAATATCTGAAAATTTAGATCTCGGTCATCACGATGAATAAAATTTGTTCGGATAACATCTGAAAGCTGCCCGTATTAAACGTTCATTAAGACATTATCAATGTATAAATGAAATCGACTGATCGTAATATGTGAATTATTAACTTTATTTTTCGGACGTTGTTTCATTTGTAAAATGATAGCCACGAAAGACCAAACCTTTCTTCATTCTGTCAATGAGAAAAAGTCGTCCCCTTTACCTCGTTTACTTAATTGCATTACTAGTGTTTCCTCATTCTATCGATTTAACGAAAAAGGAATCGCTATTCACATGGACGTAATTGAATATTTAGTTACGATATTACCTTTATCCAGAAAGGAAAAGTTAACTTTTATCCAGAAACACAGAAAAATGATTTTCTCTGTTGCAGCTAATCTTGGTTTGTTATAATATATTTGCTGACGTATAAATTTATAAACTGCAGCAAAATGGTTTGCTATTGCTGCTATAATATATATATCACAGCTAAGACATTAGCTATGATATTTATATTTTAGCTGTCCATATTTTACACCTGCCATTTAGTTACCACATGCAGTTTTTAGTTACGACAGTTACTTTCTTTTTTCCGTGAAGCAATACCCAAAATTACTAACAAAAGAAGAACATTAAGACTACTATTTATTCATCTTTGTTACCTCAGATTATAACGTTGGAAGCAAGAAAACGCAATACAAATTTTTATAAAAATCATATTTGAAATATTTTATAATGTAAAACTATTTTTCAATAAAACGATATTTGCAATCAATAGAATATATTTATAAACTATATCGAAAATTATCTTCTTGTTTTAAGGAAAAATTAAATCATATTTATTTTTATGTATGTATTATTAATTTGGCAGTTTATTATAATTGTCAACATAATTTATTCATTTTGTCGCAATAAGAATTAATTATTTACAGATTTTAATATGTTATTCAACATTATTAAGATCGTTTCGAAGATGCGAATAAGCATAAAAAATTTGTTAAATTGCCAGTAAATTTAACTCGTGATAGAAAAAAAATCATTTCGGCGTGCGTTTCTGGGGACTACATACGTAGTATATAAATTCACATAAGAATCATACAAGCATTAAGATCCAGCTATACCGTTTAAGGCTTTGATTTCTATAGTTTGTGTTATCACATATACGGTTCTATAATATATTATATTATTCATTTTTGATTATGCATAATGTATTTGCAGATAATATGGTTATTTATTAATTAATAAAACAAACAGAGAGTTTTTTCAGTTTATTTCACAGTTGGTTCTATCGATTATAAGTGATGTTTTCTTACAACATATTTCTATATTAATATATGTATTTTGCAAGAATTTTATTTTTTCTCGCGTATATTATTATAATCTGAGGTAATGATGACTAAATAGAAGCCTAATAA